CCACCTGGGCTCTGTTTCGGGGAATCCCAACTACCAGCATCCACAGTTTTCCCCTTGGGTTGACTGTCTTCAGCCCCTGCAAAGGAATGATCTATTCTCCTGCCTTAAAACTTCCAAAGGCTTCCCATTGCACTTAAAACAAAGCTATGGTTGGTGTGGTGGCCCACACACCTGTAATCCCAGCGCTTGGGAGGCTGAGGCAGGAGGATCGCCTTGAGTTCGAGGCCAGCCTGAACTGCCTGGTGAGACCCACCGAGGCAGCCAGCAACCCTATAGGGCTTCACATCCAGGCTGGGAGGAGCTGCGAGGCGGCCACTTGTCACTCCCTCGCCCTGTCACCAACTCTGAGGGGTCTGCAGGCTCCGTGTCACCCCTGTAAGGACAGGACTACAAAGGATGGCGGAGAAACAGCATGGGCTTGAGGAAAAGGGTCTTCTCGCTCGTGTCAGTTAGCTGGGCCCTGCTGCTTCAGGGTCACCCGGCGGGAGGACCCCAGGCGCCAGCACCTTGGCTGCTCCTTCCTCCAGGGCTGTGCCCTCTGCCCTCTGCCCTCCCCGAGGTGGGACCGTCACCCCTCCCAGAGCCTCCCTTGACCGGCTTCTCCTCAATGCACACTGTGGGTTGCAGATCTGACAACCACTTTCCGTCTCTCCCTCCCTCTTTGTAATGTGAGCTGCCGTTTTGATTTGCTGGAGTCCAAGGTGATGATGGGGTTCAGGAGCAGTCGGTCTGCCCTGCCCCGTCCCGGAGCAGCGGCACTTCTCCTCCAGCGAGTGGCCTCGACGCGGGCAGGTGACACACTTCCGCCTGGGAACACACAATGAGCTGCGCAGTGGGCGCTGCTGGGAATTTCTTTGTAAAGGGACCCAAAAGTGTGACATGCCCTTTGAGAATATTAAGCTTGGACCTTGAGCAGCCAGCTGTTGGCCTTGGGGGGACAAGCACGGGGACAGAAGTGAGCCCCTGAAAGAAGGCAGGGCTGCGGACGGAAGGACGTGGGTCACTGGTGAGCTTGGTGAACCAGTGCCGAATGGCCAACCCCAGAACTGCCCGCCTGGCCTTTCTTCTTACTCCTCTCCTTCTTGTTTAAGTCAGTTGAGTCCACTTTCTCGCCTTCCACATGTATTAGTACATCTGCCTATTGTTTATGTTGTGGCTGTGTCTAGACAACCCCCAAAGCCTCATGCAGTCAGAGGTGAGGCTTCTCCGAGGCGGCTGGATCCAGAGTGTGTGATGCTGGGATTAAGTGAGCCCACTGATTGGCGTGGCTCCCTCCCTGAGCCCTGGAGTTCAGATCGAATGTAAAAGGAGTAAAAAGAATCTGCTCTTGCCGCTTGCTCTTACTGTCTTCTGCCCACCATGAACTGTTTCTCCTCTGCGATGCCTCCTCTCCCACACCACCCCGCCTTGGAGCCAGCCGATTATGGGCTGAAACCTCTACAAAGTGTGAGCCGAAATAAACCTTCCCTCCTTCAACTTTGAGTGTTGGGTATTTTGTCTCAACAATGAGAAAAAGTAGCTGAGACATTTGCTTATTTCATTCCTGAAACTAGTTTATATATATTTGTTTTGTTTTTTGAGACAGGGTCTCACTATGTAGTTGAGACTGACCTGGAACTCACTATGCAGCCCAGGCTGGTCTCAAACTCACAGGGATCCTCCTGCCTCAGTCTCCCGAGTGCTGGGATTGTAGGCGTGTGCCACCACGCCCAGCCATTTACTTGGTTTGTGTCTGCACACTGCGGAGCACCACCTCGGAATGTAAACTCTGGGAGGACAGGTCTTCATCCATCTTCTTTGGCCCTGTAACCCCAAATATCTAGCAAGTGTGGAACAAGACAGTCCTCCTGCATATACGTGGTTTTTTGTTTGTTTGTTTGTTTAGGGGTTTTTTTTGCATCTATGTGTTAAATGAAAAGAAAAAGAGATGTTCTTCTGTAATTGCTTACTCTACTTACCACCATGTCACAATGACATTGAGCTGGAAAAAGAAATCACACTTTGTTAAAAAATAATTACGAGGTCAGGGATTTGGCTCAGCGGTTCCACCGCCTGCCTTGCAAGTGCAAGGGCCCAAGTTCGATCCCTGGTACCCACCAAATATACATATATGTATATTACAGACCAGCATTTCCTCCTCATGCCGGTGGCCTGAGGCACATCTGCCATTTACCAGCTGTGCTGCTAGAAAGAAATTACTTGACTTCTTGGGATCTCTGTCTCACCATTTCCAGAATGGAGCTGTGAAAAGAGAGCTGAATGGGACTTTACAAAGCAACAGGTCCAAAGTCGGCGCTCCAGATGCAATGGTCCACACCCCTGACCTGCTGCACGCCTGGCTGGGGCCTGGCTGCAGGGGAGCAGTGGGCGGGCGTGGGGCCACTTCTAAACTGATGGACCAGCGCTGCTCTACCCTCCTCTTTACCTCAGAGCAGTTAAATTCTTTCTAAAACCTTCCTCCATCCGCTTACCCTCCACCCTCTATCTCTCGCTGCACAGCTGACCCAAGTCCACAAGCTGCCCTGATACCCTGGGGTTCTGGTCTCCAGGTCCCAAAGCTGATAAATTCAGGAAAGAATTCAGGGCTTAAACCTAGAAGACCTGTGGTCGGTCCAGTCTGGCTCTGAGTAGGTGAGTGACAAGCAAGCCCTGAACCTCAATCTCCTCACCCACACAATAGGACTGACGGGTTCTCCTTACTTTGCTGGGCGTGGTGGCGCACCACTGTAATCCTGGCACCCAGAGGCTGAGGCAGGAGGATCACTGCAAGTTCTAGGCCAGCCTGGGCTACACAGTGAGATAGTGAGACCCTGTCTGAAAAACAAACAGGGCTGGGGATTTTGCTCAGTGGTGCTGCCACCTGCCTCACAAGTGCAAGGACCTGAGTTCAATCCCCAGTACAGAAGAGAGAG